AGTTGATTGAGCTGGCGCAGGCCAGCGAGAAACCAGTCAACTCGCAGCAGCCGAGCCATCGACAATCCACGCCCTGGCTGAGCTTCTTTGCCTCGGGACCATTCCTGGCCCTCACCGCTGTGCACTGCGCCTCCGCCTGGGGCTACTGGACCTTGCTGACGCAGATACCCAGCTACATGAATAATGTTTTGGGCAAGGATATCAAATCAAACGCGCTGCTCTCCTCACTGCCCTACATTGCAAATCTTGTGCTGAGCTTCCTCTTTGTCTGGGTGTCCAAGTTTATGGAGAAGAATGAATCTCTTTCGCTCTCGTTCAACCGGAAGTTCTTTAATACGATTGGCCAATATATTCCGATGTGCCTGCTTGTTGCATTGGGCTATGTGCCCAAGGATCAGGACTCTCTGGCCGTGGTGCTGCTCACGCTCACCGTGGGCATCAATGCCGCATGCCACCTCGGCTTTCAGGTAAACCACATCGATCTGTCGCCCAACTTTGCTGGCACTTTAATGGGCATCAGCAACGGATTGGCCAGTATAATGAGTCTGAGCGCCCCGCTCTTAGTCGGTGTTATCGTTACCAATAAGGTAGGTTTCTCTTGGAGATTTGTTCCTAATATGTCTCATGTGTAATTTCTGTCCATCTCTATTTGCAGCATGATGTGGCACAGTGGCGTCTTGTGTTCTTTGTTGCCGCTGCTATTTACCTGGTGGGCAACGGCCTCTTTGTCCTATTCGGGCGCGCGGATGTACAGCCATGGAATGATCCTCCCGCCAAGGTCGATCATACCTCCATACCAGAGATGGAATCGCAAAAATCGGAATGCTGTGATAAATGATGTTAATTATTCGGGCCGAGTATAGACAACAGTTGACAGGGTGCATCTAGACCCATAAATATCGTATACTTATTTTTATTTTAACCGTACAAATCATGGAGTGAGCCGCATCATGGCTTAGCTATAGTTCGTATTAAGTATGTATGTACATATATCTTTTTGGCTTAAGGAATAATAAAATATCTATTATGAGCATCTAAATTAATTCTTATCTTAAGCTTTCTAGCCTCCTTCTAGTTTTCCCGCTATTTAAATTTCTAGTAGTCTATAGTCAAAGTATTTGTACTGTGTTACAAATGTATTTCAGTCTTATACTTCATATCTCAGAAATTATTTTGCTATTCTTTAGTTACTATTTATAGATCTTTATCTAGATTCATGTAAGACACCCTCCACCATTTCAAGCATTCGCACATTAGCATACATATATAAAAAAGCCCAAGGTTATTCCTAGGAAACGTCACAACATACGCGTTGTCCATTTAGTGAAATTTACGAATGATATAAAAATGATATTAATATTCAACTTGATATACGAGAAGAAGAAGTTATGAAGTGTAGCTCTTAGAGTATACGTGCTCGACGTGTTCAAATAGACGGACGGATACAGATTGATTCAGCTTGCCACCCTGATCAAGAATATATGGAATACATGTGCAGGTAACTAATATGCTCTTTTAACCATCTTCAATAGGAATAGTTTGGTCTATAAAAATGCAGTTCATAAAAGGAACTTGTCCTCTAAAGTATATTCGCCTTGTCATCGCATTACCATAACATTTGGTAAGTACTTCTATGAATATTTTGAAAGCCGAGTGTTATCTTATCAAATAACAAATAAGCATATTTACTTTAGTCGTGCCGACGGCACGCGATTTATACAATTATAAACACAGAAGCTGTCACCATTTGTTGTACAGAAGAACTCGTAATATGCTACATCCGTTAAGCCAGCAGCTAGTTAGTGAAAAGATCTCGTGAAGTGCGGTAATGCAACGCACTGAAGACTCAACATAAACATAATCAAGTGGCAAGCAAAAGCAGCAACAAAATGGTTAAGAATCGTCGTTTCGAAAACGAATGTAGGTAGCCCAAGCCGAGGTATATAGATCACATATTTTCGAAATTTAAAACATTGTTATTTTATTTTTATTCATTTTATTTTATTCATTTTATTCTTTTTAGAGTAAAATAATGACAATAATAGAATAAATAATAATAAAAATTTATACGTAAATACACTTGACAGAGCTACAAAGTGATGATTTTTATCTAAAGGATAATTTTTGCTTATGTTTGAATGATGAACTATTTTATATGAAAATATTTTTATGAAATATTTAATATAAAATTCATCACTTTGTAGTGCTATCAAGTAAATGTATAGCTTTAAATTCGAGATAAGTTAGGCGCATATAAAAGTGGGTCAATGTAGAAAACTGAAGCGCACTTATCTAACTTGGAAGTCCACAAATCATTTTGAGTGGCTCAGCATAAGAAATGAAGCTCTGCGTTAGCATATCTTTTTATAGCACACCTGGATTAATTTTTTTTCTACAGCTTCTGGATTTGGAATACGTCATGTGCAAATCTTTCTGCTTTTCTGCGCTCTTACCGTGGGCTTCGCCATGCGGGTCAACCTGTCCGTAGCAGTTGTGGCCATGGCCGAGTTTCCCGTAAGTAAAAGCTAATTTTCATTAAATATAGGTCAAACTCACGTTTATATCCATTGGCCATTTAGGAATACGACTGGTCCGAGAGGATAAAATCTCTGTTGCTGAGCAGTTTCTTTTGGGGCTATGTGCTTACCCAGGTGCCAGCTGGTCCTCTGGCACGTAGGTTTGGCGGCAAGGTCACAATTCTAACCGGCTTGTCCATCTGCTCGGTGCTGACCATTTTGACGCCACTCTGTGCCAGGCTGGGAGGCTGGCAGCTGCTTTGCGCGGTGCGTTTGGTCGAGGGCATTTGCCAAGGATTGCTCTTCCCCTCGACCCATACGGTGATTTCCGCTTGGGTGCCACCCAAGGAGCGCGCCTCTCTGGGCAACTTTACGTACGCAGGCAACCAGTTTGGTACCATCATAATGTTGGCCACCAGTGGCCTGCTGGTCTCCATTGGCGATTGGCCCTGCATCTTCTATGCATCCGGGGCCGTGGGCTGCATTTGGTCAGTCGTCTATTTTCTTTGGGGTGCCAGCTCGCCGGCAGATTCCAAGAACATATCCGCCGAGGAGCGAGAGCTGATAGAGCTGGGACAGGCCAGCGAGCGAAGTGCCCATGCGGAGCTGCCCAGCCATCAACAGACCACGCCTTGGCTGAGCTTTTTCCGCTCACCTGCTGTCCTGGCGCTTGTTGCCGTACAATCTGCTTATGCATACGGTTTTTGGACCTTGCTGACGCAGATTCCCAGTTACATGAAGAACATCTTGGGAAAGGACATCAAGGCCAATGCAGTTCTCTCTGCTCTGCCCTACACCGCCATGCTTGTGCTCAGCTTCCTCTTTGCCTGGCTCTCAAAGCTTATGCAGAGGAAGGATTCGATTTCGCTCTCGTTCAACCGGAAGTTCTTTAACTCAATTGGCACTTGGGGTCCCATGTGCCTGCTCATTGCGCTCGGCTATGTGCCGCGGCATATGGACAGCCTGGCCGTGGTGCTGCTCACCCTAACCGTAGGCATAAGCTCCGCCAGCCACGTGGGCTTCCTGATAAATCATATTGATCTGTCGCCCAATTTTGCGGGCATCCTAATGGGCATCTGCAATGCAATTGCCAATTTAATGAGTCTCGCTGCTCCACTCCTGGTGGGCATCGTTGTTACCGATAAGGTGGGTCATATTTTGAGCTACTCCGTTTTGAAAGGTTTGTGATAAATCTCATTTTCTTACAGTACGACGCAAATCAATGGCGCATAGTCTTCTTTGTGGCAGCTGGCATCTACTTGGCGGGCAACGGGCTCTTCCTGATCTTTGGTCGTACCAGTGTCCAGCCTTGGAACGATCCACCCGCCAAACAGCACAGCAACTCAGCATCTGAGTTGGAAGCGCAGGATGGAAATGAGAAATAGAAGGCTTCAGAATATTAGAGATCAACCAGTTTAAAGTTTACAGATGAGTATATTATCTCCCTAATATAACAATATATTTGTGAAATATAACTGAATAGTATAAAATTATATAAATACAAAAACTATTTCGGCTTAGTAAGAGAACAGCTTCAATGGAGCCGTCGGAAGTCGATAAGACATATTATCTTAAGCTCAAGGACTTAAGGAGTTACAAGTGTTTTTTATTAAACAATTTGTCTGCGGATTGCGTCTTTATAATATCGAGATCTCTGTGTATACAGTTACTCTCATAAGTATGTACTTTTCGCAATTAAATGAACCTAGCGGCATTTTCAGGAACTATATTTAAGTTGTACTATAGCATACTTTTTGACGGGTTTCGTTAAGCAGAAATTATTGTGAATATATTCAACAAGAAGATACAAAATATGTAGCGCTAACCTAGGAGCAGACTAGATTAACAAAAAGTTAATTTGGATAGGGCGTGAGTTATTTAAGAGTACGTTATATTGAGATATATAAAAAGAAAGACATATTCTGGAATAAATATGTGAGTGGATTGTGAATGTATTTGAGTTTTTCACGCTATGATGCATTGAGATACATATAGCTTTCCATTTGAAGTGTATTTAATATATGTATTTTACAAATTTAAGGAATTTAAGATATAACAGTTTAATCATTTTTAAAGTGAAATAATAATTATTGTTTGTCGCATTGTTGCACAATCTTTATAAATTTAAGTTTCTAGCAAAATAATCTTCACGAACACGACAGGAATAATTTTATACTTTTGAGTTTTTTGGGGACCGTGGGCAATAAAGGCCCCCCTCTGTACACGCCTTTGATAGCAAATGTTTGTGCACACTTTATGGCAACCAAATTGCCCGCATGGCAAATGTGGAAGTTGCGGTCGTGATCGTGTGAGGCGAATCTGTTGATAAGCAGAATTTGAATACACGCACGCGATATGGACCGTATGTTAACACAGACACATACATACATACATATGTACATAAGCACACATAAACACATGTTTATTTGCATATTTGATACGACGAATGCGATTACGAAATACTTCCATGAGGCGAACCTACTCTTAGAAAATATACAGTATATTAAGCGGTACATTTATTTAATTCGGATCTTAAGACAGAAGAGAGCTGAACTCTTTCAATGTGGCTTAGTACGTAATTATAATATATAGGCAATGACAGTTCCAACGGGAACTGTTCCCAAGAATTTCGGAACAGGTTTGCATTTGGGCTGTTTCCACTTGGGCAGGCGCACGTGTTAAGAAGATGAAATATGGAACGGCAAGCGAACAGATAGCGTGAGGCGCGAGCAGGCCTTTGTTGCAGGGTCCAAGAACAACAAGAAAAATCCCAAAATTAAAAGATAATGAAAACCATTAAATACGAATCTTAACGCTGTTATTTATACCATTTCCAGTCAACTTAGCGCGGCGCGACAAAGCGCCAGATGCTATCAACATCACAGTGCAAATAATATGCCACTTGTCATATCAGCTGAAGCCCCGAGCGCCAACATTTCAGTAGCTGCCATAGAATCGAGTTCTTGCCGCTTGTAGTTTAACCGGTAGCTCCAGAGCGAAGATAGAGAATATAGAACGTTATCTGAATCTGAAGTACTCACTTTATTGTCTGCCTATTCGGCATGAATCAAGGTTTATGGGCGCCAGCGACGGTGGTGAAATCGCGATCGGATATGGGGCCCCGTGTCTCTCGTTCTCTCTCGCTCGAACTCGATCTTGTCAGTTTTAATCTCTCAGTTTTCGTTTATTTCGGTGCCAGGCTTATGTTTACGTCATTCCGAAGGCGTTGTACTTTATTCAAAGATCGAATTTTGCAAATCATTTTGCCAAGCGAGCAAAGAGCAGTCAATGCAATAACAACACAGAGCTCTCGTGTGTTGTAGGTGCTGGGTGAAGGGGCGCAGCGGCAGAGCGAGAGGGTGCGCCACTGTAAGCGTCAACGTCAGCGTCAGCGTCGGCCGAGAGCCGATTGGCATTGTACACTTGCGCATCACGTGAACGTGGAAGTCGTCGGCTGTGTGCCGAGCCGAACGTGTGAGAAACGTGATCAAAGATCAGAGAGAGTGCGAATTGTGAGCGCGCACACACACACATGTACAGAAAGTAAAAAGTGAGCGCGGGAGCGTGGATATGCCGCGCCTGTGGGAGTGTATTGAACGACCATGTATAATAGTGTGCGTGCCTGTGTGTGTGTATGTGTATGGAAATGTGTGTATGCATGTGCATAAAAATGGCAACAAATTAACACTGCGCGGCGCCAAAGCAGTTGTTGCTGCCGGCAAACTGTTGGCGCATTTTGACTTTGACAAGCTCTCCCACTCGCGCTCTCTCGCTCACACGCTCTTTGCGTTTTCTTCCTGCGCGCGCTCTCTGCGTCTCTCTCGCTTTGTCGTTAAGGTTATCGCTAATTATTTTGCAAATATCAATGCTGTTTTTCTTGCTGCGATGTTTTCAACAAAACTTATTAAACATTTTGTATTTTTTGTAAATCTCTCTGATAATGAATTCGCTAATGCCCAGCCATTTCACAACAAAAGGCAAATATGTATGCACTGGAAAACAATAGCAACAACAATTACTGCTTTTTATTTTTGTTATTTTATCATTTTGTGCGCCGTCATGCTGCCTGCTTTTAATTTTATGAATTAAGTTGCCTTGTGACAAAACTAAGTTTATAAATATATTTATGTTCATATAACTAGGCAAATACCACGAATATATTATGCAAATAAAAACTTTTTTTGTTAAACTAAGTATATTACACTGTGCGTCTTGGCTCTTTCAGTTGGTGCCGTGCCGCATGATGTCACAGTGATAAATCAGCTGCGTGGCTGTCGCAGTACCCCTTTTAGGTCCACACGGACCAACTCGCAATGATAAGATTTATATGTTCCCCGAATTACTGTCATAATTGGCGGTCTGGTCTGAGATAAGACTGCAGCAGCGGCATCTAATCATGGAATTTGCCGAGTGACTAAGTACTCGCCGTGGATTCATGTGGGACGCGATTTCCGATCGAAGCTAGCGGAACTAGCAATACAGTTAAAGTTCCCTATCCAAGATCACGAGCAATTAAATATATATATGCTACACATTCTGTTTGCTTTTAGCACTTTTGTCTGGCCAAATCGTATATCCTTATTGTTTATACGCTAGCTGGGATCACATCACAGCACAATATTTAAAGAAAACCCAAATTCGAAGAGACGGCTGAAGGTGGCGACACTTAGCCGAAGAAAATATACACTACATTTAACATAATGGAGGTTCTACTCAAATTTTAATTAGTTATTATCATGTGAGGAGTTTGGGATAAGTCTTAAGATAAAATATATATTTTTAAAACTTTCATTTACGATTGATTAAGATAGCTTCAGCAAGAACAAAGTTTTTGATAAAAGAAGGAAACATTATTTTTGACGGATTGTTCGTATAGCAACTATATCATATAGTGTTCCGGTCCGGCCGACTCTTTGATGCTTAAGACTAGCAATATATTTAGATATTTTATAGAATAGTCGAGAAGGTATGCTTCAGTAGAAATATATTGCAATTGATTTAGTTTTATGAGTTAATCAAACAATTTTCATTGCCAATTGACTGAACGACTGTTATGCCCATTGTTAGAGTAATGAATGTGAAAAATCAAGTGGCCGCACGAGCTGTGAAAATGAAAAGTTCTATTTAAAGCAACTACGTGCCGCGTGAGCCGTCAGGCACTCACGCCCACACAGCTGAGGATGTCGCGATGGGGAGGCCAACGAGTGAGGGGGGCGGCTGGTGGGTGGGCGAGCGGACATTGGAAAACTGTGAGAGGATAAGACGCGAGGCGCTATCAGCTGCATTGGCAATTAAAATGATTTTCATTTGCAATTGCGGAAAAAAGAAACAAAATAAATACGCGTCTTTGACAAGATGCCAGCTGCCTGCTGCCAGCTGATGCGGCCCGGTTCGGTCCGGTCCGGGCCAGGGCAACGACGGACGACGGCTAGACACAAATCAAATAACGCAAAGTGTCCATCAATGGGATGGCAACTAATGGCAACTAATTGGGCGCGTCGCGGCATTTGTGACCAGGTTAGCACCTGCTGGCATCCAGGGTTTAAATGCGTTGCAGGGCCAGCTAAGTTTAGCGAAAAGTTTCCATGCGCCTTTGTGAACGCTAATTCATGTCAATTGAGCTTTATCAATTGATTGCATACAATTCAATTAGGCCCGACAGATAGATGTTGGCCCGGGCAAGCCCCTAGCGCTAGATTGGCAAATATATGCAATCGAAATTGAAGCTAAGTTTATTGCAAATAATTCAGCGTAAATTGTTGACATAAGTCTTTAAGGCATTGTTCAACAAGTTGACAGAAGGCATCTAACTGGCGGCACAGTTCCCATCGGTTTGGCTTCTTCCATATACATTTGGGGGCTGGGCAGTCTGTAGGCCTGGCTAACAATGGAATGGAAAAACACCTGCTGCACTCCGGACTGAACTTGACATGTTAATTCCATGTCGCTGACATTGTGGTATCTTAATGCCCTTGTTGAGGGCATAACAAGCTCGTCACGAAGTTTTTAACGCGTAGAAGGATACATATTCGACCTTAGAAGGCGTATATATTCTTGATCAGTATCAGCAGGCGACTAGATTATTAGGTTCTTAAATGAAGAAATTATTTATACCTTGAGTGTCTCCATGTGCCCAACATGCTTGCAAGACCTTATCAACATCCTTGTACTACATAGTTTAGGTGTATAAATTATATTCCGCAAAAAAGTAAGTTTCATATAGCTTGAAATATGCTATGTCATATGGGTCGAATTAGGGGAGATATCTTGACCAAAGTCTAAAATTAAGAACTTTTCTCAATTTTTATCGACTCGAGCTACTCAACTAAAGTATTCGAACACTTCTTAGTTACATATTTACAAAGGGTGTTGTTTCTTCGGCGTGCTGAAGATAAATGCTTCTGTTCTTCTTCTTCTTTTCAGCTCTTGTTTGGCTAGGCTGTTAGCTTTGTTACACGCGGCGTATGCGCAATATATCCCAAGTGTGTTGGCTGCCGTTTGTATCATTATCGCACTTCAATTGGCGACGAATGCAAAAAATTCCACTAGCCGGGGGTATCGTAGCTGTATCTGTATCTGTATCTAGGCACTTTGTATCTATTCTTAAACAGTGCAAATTTCCATATCATAGTCGGGCTAACAAGCAAGCATTTTAATTGCTGCGACGACGGGTGTGGCCCAGTGCAAATTTGTGCAACGCCAAGACCTGCAGTTGCTGCTGCTGCCCGAAGGAAGGCCCTGCCTCCCGGGCGTGCGTCCCACATCCGCTCGCCTGACGTCAAGCCCGCAGCTGACGAGCGACGCGCTGTTTGCCATTTGTCAAATGTCGCGCTTTGATAAGCGTTTTGTTAGTGCACAGCGCGCAGATTCATTAATTCGCTACAGCGATTTGGGCCGCCTTCTGGGGGCTGTGCGGTGGGCATGACGCATCCGAGGAGCAGGCAATGGAACGATAAGATCGACACGATTAGATTGATTGGGCCAACCGGCTGTCAGTCAGACCCATTAACAGACGAACCGACGACTGTTTCTACCACAAAAATGACAGATGGAAACACTTGACTCAATTGAACTCAACTGGATGCCACTCGATGCGATCGATGGCGACTATATTTAGCATTGTTTTTCTCCAAAATCATTCACGGAACGTGTCCCTTTTCGGCTGACAGTTAATTCTTTACATAAGATCTCTGATAAGGGGTTTATGGAGTCGGCGACTGCCTCTGGCCTCCGCCTCTGTCTCTTTCTGGGCACATACGGTTTGACTGTAATGATAACCCAATTAAGAGCCACTAAATCCCCGCTGAAAATCCACTCATATTTAAAGGCACATTAACTGATAAAGCAGCCGCAATCACGGCGAACGTGCCGAAAAAACGTGTCGATTCTCTTTTTTTTTTTTCGCTCCAAAAATACTTATCAGCTACAAAATTCTGTGCAAAAATAAAAGAACAAACCATTAACAAATGCTCGTGTACCGATTAATATTAAAAATGAGCATGTTCTTTATTGCTGTCTTCGATGGAATCAGCATGAGTTTGCCTGCGATAGCAATTAGTCTAGGGGCAAGCGGAAAGTTGGCTTGTTTTCGTCTATTTTTTTCTTATTCATTTTTTTATGATTCGGTTGCAAATCAAAGTCTCTCTGATAAGCATGAATAATTTGCTGTTCTACAAAATATAATTGATAATAGCGACTCGAGTTTGGCAGCGATTCCTGTTGACTCCAAGTTCCATATAGGGCTCTATTGATGTCAATTCTGGAATGGAATTGCATTCATCAGGGCCAATGGATCTGCCAATAGCTGAGTTATGGATTGTGCAAGCGATTCCTTTAGACAATTCGATGGCCATAGTATTCTTGCGATACTAACATTGGACAACAGCTGCTGTCAAAGCTCGAGTTATGTCATCTACAAGTAGTTTGTTTTTCTAGCCAAGATCGAGAGAGAGCGAGAGAGAAATCTACTAGATGCCATTACTGAGTGTGTGCGTGGCTTATCAGCGACTGCGGCTTGACCTCCACAGCGGCTCAGGCTTATCAGCAGGAGCAAGGCAAAATGAAAGCTCAAGCAAAGTATCTGACGGAACAAAAAGTATCTAACGGATACCAGCTGTAAATGGGTGCAGGAGGAGAGAGAGAGAGGGAGAGAGAGAAAATAGGATGTGACTAATTTTGTTATTGCGATTTGTAAGAAGAACAAAAACCCATTACGCAGAAAACCCAAAAGGCTGCCAGAGAGCGAGAGTGAGAGAGACAGGGCACAAGGCGCGAGGCAGAGTGAGAGAAAGAGAGATCGGGCGAGAGTGCGGGCGAGGCTGAGGTAGTCGAGTGCAAGCCACTTGGGATTGATAGCTGGGTGTTGTCGCTGTGTTAGTGTTGTTTACATATTGGCCGGCAAATTCGAGAGCAGAGAGACCAGGCAACACTCACACACACCAATACACACACACACATGCACACACACAGCAGGCCCGTCTGCCTGCCTGCATGCCTGGCAGCGTGTTCGGGTTTTACTGATAGCAAAAGCAACAACCAAATGGAAATGGAATTCACGCGATACACATGTGTGTGCCCACAACAACAGCAACAGCAACAGCAACAGCAACAAAGTGACAGATACTTCGAATGCGACTGCGAAGTCGACGTCGACATCGACAGCGAACTCTCTCGACGTGCAGGCGAGCGGGCAGCCGAGCGAGCGAGCGATCATATTTATAAAAGAATCGCTGCGGCAAGTATTTCAGGCAGTCGTAGTCGCTCGCTAGAACAAACCAAAACCCACAAGATACGCGTAATTCAGTCCGCACGGCCAAAAGTATCTGTATCTCTATCTGTTGCTGTAGCTGTTCTCTATCTGTATCTGTATCAGAGCAGAGCTGAGTATCTGCAGTAACTCGTGTGTTCGCACCTCGCATATCCGTATCCGTGAAATATCTGTGAAACGAAACGTCGAATCGGAATCGCATAATTTAAATCGAGCAACAGCTGAAGCCCCAGACTTTTGTCAACCTCAACGTGTCTCCGCGTCGTGCACATGTGCTCCACCAGCTAAATGTCGGAACACGTTGTATGAAAATCAAAAAACCACATAAACAAAAAATTTCCACTGCCCGCAACTCCAGCCAGCAGTCTGACAGAGAAGGAGCGAGAGCCAGCCAGAGTGCGAAAGAAAGAGAGTTCGAGTGCATCTGAAGTCAGCCCGCGCCGCACACATGACCACCACCTTGAATATGGTGAAAACTGGGAAATACGCCAATGGTATGTACCCGAAATCGGAGCACTATATAGCTCCGCATAGTTCGCATGGCTCTTATCGTGCCTTCGCCATTTGCCTCCACGTGCACGTGTCTGGCGTGTTTATGTAAGACCGACTCGGGCCGAGTGCAATTGTCAATTGTCAGAATTTAACGTGTTGCCGGAAACAGCTGAAACCATAGCCTCTCCGCCCCTCTCCCTCTTCCACCATTTCAGTAAAGCTGCGGCTTTTGCATAGCGTGTCCAGCTATAGGCTTTAGTCTCAATCCAATGCCTTATAAGGCAAATGAAGCGAACGTTAATTGTATTTGAAGTTTGCAACAATTTTTATATATTTTTTTAAGCTCATAAATATTTGTTATAATTGCGCTTGTACGTGCTCGCATATACTATATAAAAATATGCATCTCTCTATGAGCTATTCAGACGACCTCCACTGCGCTTCCAAAAATATTTCTTCCATGCAAAACTCTAGACACACTTCTTTTTCACTCAGCTTATGTGAAGAGAAGCAAAAACAAAGAGTAATAATATGAAAAAGTGTGGAATTTTATACAACTTGGCTGACAAAATAAGTTTTTAGCACGCTCAACAGAAAATGATAAAAATAAACAAATATAAAAGTATGGGGAGAGGTGCTGGTGGAGGGGGGGCTATAGAGAGGCAGCCAAATCAGACGCAGTATTTATGCTATTTTTTTTCTTTCTTTTATTTTATATTATTTAATTTTCGTTTTGTGCCAATGAAACTGAAAATTCGAATTAGGATCGGAAGATATAGTAAAAGTAGAAAGTACTTGGACTATGCTCAAATGACGCTGATGTAAAAGAGCGAGAGATAGAGTACAGAGCGAAAGAAAGAAAGAGAGAGAGAGAGAGAGAGAGAGCGAGAGTGACAGAGAGAGAGAGGGAGATCATAAAATGAATTACAGCTGATATTTAGCCAAGAGCATTACGAGACAAAGGCTAACAGAAGCGTCCATTGTAAGCGGCGGGTCTACCTACACGTAGGCCCCGAGTGCTAGCCATGCATGCAGGGCCTGCTGGCTTCGATGAGTCGTAACAATTATCTAATCTGATAGACTGACATATTAAGTATATATATAAATACTAAATATTTAGGTTTGTGTGTTGTGTCTGTGTTTCTGTATATACCAAAGATTTCTTGTTGTTATTGCTCCAATTTATCGGGCTCGTTATTGCGGTACAGTTATTTAGACGTTATCGGTTATCAGCACATTTGCACTTGGCTAAGGTGAGGTAGGTGGGTGTGTGGAGTGTGGAGGAGGGTGGTTGATTTGCTAATGTCCTTCGCTTGGCAGCCCAATTATCGCATATGACCATGGCCAGAAACTATATATAGCCCATATGGGAGAGTTCCAGGGTATCAGATTGGCAATCAATCAAAAATCAACTTTCATAGCAGCACATAAATGTTTATTGATGAAATTGCCCTGGAAATTTGTTGCGATTCCATTTATGGAACAGCACAAATTTAATTGCTTGTATTTCTGTAGTCCCCCCTCCCTCTTTTATTAAACAAAAGTGTATAAATTAACATTAAGAGTGCGACAAAAAAAGCACATCACAAATGGGCTGCGGCGCGCACCCAAAGTGGGTCTAAAAGCAAAAACCAGAAGAAGCAACAAAATGATTGCGCAAAAAAAAACGGTTCGAAAAACGTGTCAGATAAAAAAGAGTTCCACCGTAACGTGAATCAGCTCCATTAACAGAGAGACACTGTGACAGAGCGAGAGAGAAGGTGAGATCAGGTGTGCGAGCGGTAGAAAGAGAGGGAGAGTGGGAGCTCTTGGCTGACTCTGCAAATTGCCAAAGTCTCAAAGTTCAAGCAACGTGTCGAGTCACCGCATGTTCGCCCCCCCACCAACGATTGTTTATTATTGAGTGAAATTAATAACGAACAATTATTAATAACGAAAATCAAGCCAAACGCCTTCCACTGGCATTGGCTGGGCTGAGCTGAGAAAACGCTTCGGCCGATAGACCGGCGGTTCAATAGACCCGCTCGGGCCGTGCCTTGTAAGGCCGCGCCGCAAGGTTGCAAATTGGCTGGTTGTGCAACAATTATTGCCAACAGCTGCAGCCAGAACTAAGTCTGGGTCCATTTAAGGCGGCGTCCGCGTCTAAAAATAAAGCCCCGATCAAGCTCGGGCCAGTACTCAAAGAATTCCCCGTGTCGCACCACCGAACAGCTGTGCCCGTCCAGCCCGCGTCCGCATAAGAACAGATCTGCCGTCACGTGCGGCTGAGCGAGCGAGCGACACGCTTCCAGGTAGCTCGTGCGGGGCAGGTGGGCAGGGCTCTGGCTGTGGCATGTCGCGTGTGCTGCTGTTAGCTGTTAGCTGGTTTTCGCTCTGGGTACAGCACCGTCTGCTGATGTTGGTTGCACTTCATTGAGGCGCAGGTCTCGCGAGTAATTCACATTCACGAGTGGGCGTTGCGAGTGCGTATACCTGTGCGTCTGCGTGTGCGTGTGTATGGTTGTGTGTGCGGCCACAACAAGATTTTGACACAGTGTTTTATAAATAAACGCGCCCCACATACAAGCGACAGAGCGAGAGAGAAAGAGAGTGAGCGCCATGGATAGCGAAAGAGAGCGCCTTGCTTTTGGCATTGATAAGAGCGCTGCATACGTTTCTCGCGGCCAAAACCTAACCTTATATATGCTCTATCATATGCATAACTCTCCCCATTGATAGCCGGCGTATTTTAAATATTTCCAGTAAATTGTATTTTTATTGAAAAATAAAATTAAAACAAAACAAAATGATTCGGTTCGGTTAGAGCTAGGCTACGGAACCAGGCTGTTAGAAAATGTAAGCCTGGAATTAATATAAAAATCTTTATACTCCTCTCGACTTACAGATAAAATCATTGGCGTGCGGCATGTGCAGTGCATCCTGTGCTTCTTCTGCCTCTCCCTGGCCTATGCGTGGCGCGTCAATCTGAGCGTGGCGCTGGTGGCCATGACCGAGCCGCCAAACATAACGGAGACTAACATCACGGACGACAGCCAAGAGGAGACCATGGATATGGATGTAAGTGCCACAAAATGTTGCAAGCAGTCGAATGAAGCGCCTAACGCCGATCACTCTCTCCCTCTGCAGTATTACCCCTTCACGGAGTCGGAGAAATCATACATGCTGAGCAGCTTCTTCTGGGGCTATATCGTCACTCAGGTGCCTGGCGGCTATATCGCCCAGCGTTATGGCGCCAAGATGCTGCTGATGGTGGGCCTGGTTGCCTGTGCGATCCTGACACTGTTGACGCCGCTCTCACTCAAGCTGGGCGGCTGGCAGGCGCTGTGCGTGGTGCGAGTGCTGGAGGGCCTCACACAGGGCGCAGTGCATCCGGCGACGCATTCGCTGCTGTCCAAGTGGGCACCGGCCAATGAGCGCGGCATGCTGGCCACCATTTGCTACTCGGGCGCACAGTTCGGCACGATCATGATGCTGGCCACCAGCGGCTTCATAGCGGACTCCTTTGCTGGCTGGCCGGGCATCTTCTATTGCGGCGGCATCTGCGGCTTTGTCTGGGTGCTCTTCTGGTGGATATTCGCGGCGAGCACGCCGGAGGAACATGGTCGCATATCACGCGAGGAGCTCAAGTATATTGAGGAGTCGCGCTCGGTGGGCAAAATGCAGGATGCACGCAAAATGGCGCCCACGCCCTGGGGCAGCATCTTCACATCGATGCCGTTCCTGTCGCTGCTTGTTGTCCACTGCACGCACATGTGGGGCTTTTGGACGCTACTAACGCAGATTCCCAGCTACATGAAGAACATCTACGGCATTGACATCAAGTCCAGCTCGCTGCTCTCCTCGCTGCCCTACACGGTCATGATGATACTCAGCTTCTTCTTCGTCTGGCTGTCCAAGGTGCTGCAGAACCAAAAGTCCATATCCCTCTCCTTCAATCGCAAGTTCTTCAACTCGGTGGGCCACTGGATACCCATGCTGTCCCTGATTGGACTCGGCTATGTGCCACGCGAGAGTGCCACCTTGGCCGTGGTGCTGCTTACACTCACGGTGGGCATAAGCGCGGCCACCTACCTGGGCTTCCAGGTCAATCATATTGATCTGTCGCCCAATTATGCGGGCACCTTGATGGGCATTACGAATGCGGCGGCTAATGTCATGAGTGGCTTGGCACCACTGGCTGTGGGTCAGATCGTCAAGCATCCGGTGAGTAAAATGCTTCAAGGATAAGCCCAACTTTTGGCTAATTGATTGCACATTCCATTCTAGGAAAATGTGAGTGAATGGCGCACGGTGTTCTTTGTGGCCGCATTCTTCTACTTCGTTGGCAATCTGCTGTTTGTGGTCTTCGGACGCACTGATATACAGTGGTGGGATTCTCCCGAGCCTGTGGACGAGGAGAGCGTGGAGGCGGGCGTGCCACTGGCAGCGGCTGCCAAGGACCAGCAGTCGGGACAAATCGCAAATGACAAACCCTAAGACCACCAGCCGGACTAAGGACTTTCTCATGCCTTTCAACTGAACTAAACGATAATTCGTTTATATATGATGATGTAGGAAGAGCATGATACTGTCATAGTTGTTGTTTTCTTAAACTAAGTGCTTAATATAAGACAATAGCTATAATTAGAGGTTAAAGGACAAAAGCTTAAAATTGCCATAACGACGATCGCGTGCTTCCATTAGCGATATTAATAACAACATATGATAATTGTTTAGTTTGTAGGCAGCATAAATTATTATTTCCAGTATTTTTCCATAATGTACATAAAATATAATATTTAAAAACAAAAATATATAACAAAAAAAGCTAGTTGACAATGTAAATAGCAAAATATAAATTGCTAGCCTAAGTAACTATATAAACGCTGCTCTATTAATTGTTATGTTTTAAAGTGAAACTATATACCTTAGCTAACTTATGGCCGTAGTTAATTAGTTAAATTAGTAATAAACAAACAACCAACTTGTGATGTACGTAAAAGAAATGAACTAAAAAAGGCAGAAAAGAAGACATGCTTAGAAAACAAACATATACATATAATGGCCAGCCATTGTGTACAAATCAAAATGAAACAAAACGTTTGTCTATTTATTTCAAGTACTTTTTAAAAATGGCGCCAAACAATAGCCGCAACTATCGGTTAGCAAACACAGCTGGACTCTCGCCGCAGCTGTGTTTGATGCCCGATAGTTGTTAGTGCCGATAGTCGCACACACACTCACACACACATACACAGCTGTCGCAACAGCTGAGCTGTGTTTGCTGACCACAACAGAGGCAGAACGAAAACAAAACGCAACGTAGGCAGCACAGCAGCAGAATCGTTGGCGTCAAAGATTAATTTTTTTTAGTGCAACGTATACGTGTTGCTGCGCAAAATGTTTAGACACGCTAGCGACGCCATTGCGCACACATCAAAGTAACTGCAGACATGGTTCTCGGCTGCTTTGACTGCTGCAGCCGCACGGGCTACGACACCATCGGGAATACAGGTGAGCGCAGTGTACCTTTGTTTATTGCGGTTCCGGATTTGCACTGATTCATTTGAACGAACTTTTGTTTTTGTCTTGTTTTTTTGCCAGGTCCCCGTTTCGGTGTGCGTCATCTGCAATGCATTTTGGTATTCTTCGGATTGGCGGTGGCCTATGCCATGCGCGTGAATCTGTCCGTGGCGATTGTGGCCATGACGGATAATAATCATACAAATCCGGATTTTCCGGAGTTCGCGTGGGACGAGAGCATCAAATCGTATTTGCTGAGCAGCTTCTTCTGGGGCTATGTGGTCACCCAAGTGCCGGGTGGCTATTTGTCGGCAATATTCGGTGCTAAGTATATGCTCTTCTTTGGAGTGCTCATCTGCTCCTGTTTGGCGCTGTTGACGCCATTCTGTGCGCTAACCGGCGGCTGGAAAATGGTCGTTGTGCTGCGCGCTATCCAGGGACTCTGCCAGGGCGTCATCTTTCCCTCCACGCATACGTTCCTCTCGAAGTGGGCGCCCGCTGAGGAGCGCGGGCGTCTCGTGGGCTACTGCTACTCGGGCTCACAGTTTGGTACTGTGGTTATGCTCTCTGTCAGCGGATACATTGCATCCTCGTCGCTGGGCTGGCCGAGCATATTTTATATTTCCGGCTGTGCGGGCATTCTGTGGGCCTTAATCTGGTTCTATTTCTGCGCCAGCACGCCCGCCCAACATCCGACGATTGCGCCCAATGAGAAGCGCTACATTGAGACCTCGGGCCAGCTGCGTCGCGCCTCGGATGCGGGTCGCGAAGAGTTTGCGACACATCAGAATCAGCGCACGCCCTGGCTGCGCATTTTTACATCGCCACCATTCCTGTCTCTGCTGCTGGCGCATTGTGCCAACAACTGGGGCTTTTGGACGCTGCTCACCCAGATACCGACGTTCATGAAGAACGTGCTGAACATGGACATCAAGCACAATGGTCCGCTGTCGGCGTTGCCCTACTTCGCTATGATCATATTGACCTGCGGCTTCATCTGGCTGTCGGATGCTCTGAAGCGGAGTGGGACTAGCATGTCGCTTAATTTCTCGCGCAAATTCTTCAATTCGCTTGGCCTGTGGCTGCCCATGCTGGCGCTGCTGGGCCTGGGCTTCATCACACAGGGCGATGCGAATGCCAAGCTGGCTATTGGCTTGCTCACCTTGGCCGTGGCTACCAATGCGGCCAGCTATTTGGGCTTCCATGTGAACCACATCGATTTGTCGCCCAATTTCGCTGGCACTCTGATGGGCATCACCAACTGTGCCGCAAATGTGATGAGTATTCTGGCGCCGCTCATTGTGGGTCTCATTGTTAAGGATGAGGTGAGTAGGCCACAGATTATAGATGACATAGCTAACCACTTCTCTCTTTCCTTTTAGACGGATCCCACGCAATGGCGCATTGTCTTCTACTTGACCGCCGTCGTCTACTTTGTAGGCAACCTGGTATTCATTGTGTTTGGACGTGTTAGTGTGCAGCCTTGGAATAGCCCCGGTTCACGGCAGGCACGCCCGTCGCCCACCCACGGGCAGGATGAAGCAGAGCGGTCGCCTCTTATTGATTCCTAAATAATTCGAATTTATACTTTTCAGGGTGAGTCTGAGCTTGAAACTGATGTACCTAAAATTATAGGGTATTTAGATGGAATTGATTGTCGCTATTTTATGCTAATATATATAGAAATATTACTACGTCTAGTTATACATGTCACATTATATACACTAATATGTTATAAAAATATAAAACGCTTTTTGTGTGCTTATCGAAATAGCGAAAATTTGTAATGTTACCAATTCTTATCGTAGATATGTATGTGTATGTTCCTCCTGTAGTAACTTATATTATCTTAAAATAATATTATGGTATTTGTTTTTTTTTTTTTTTCAGTTCATATTGCTTCCTGAATTTATTTAAAAAAACAAGTTTCTGTTATATCTCAGTGTTGTGCTGCTTCCTTAAAAACGTTGTAGAACATTTGTGTAACTCGTTCGGTTTTTATGGACACATAAGTTGTAATATTTGAATATTGTGCCCCTTTCATAACCACTTATCTGCCCGAGGTTTGGTTTCGAACTTCTACTGAACATAGCGAGGTGTAATTTGAACTTCTTTATAGCCCGACAGACGCATAAATTCTATTATATAATTTTCGTTGCCCATAATTGTCATATCAGTCAGAGGGTTATGTTACTTTAACCTTTAGAGAACCTTTGTTCAATTTTTATGATAAACGTGCTTTGTTTCCCGAGTTTAAACCATAAATAACTCGTGCAGGCAATTCATATTATTATGTTAGAAGTTTTGGTTTCTGTGAAAGATTATATTGCGGCTGCTGACTATTTCCCCTTCTCAATTATATGCATAATACTATTTTATATACTGGCTGGGGGGTTTTATAACGATTTCGATTCTTTATTTGTTAGTTCTCATTATTATATTGTACAAAACTTAGGCTGCCTATCTGGTATTATGTAATAAGTACTCGTATTTTAATCAACTAACTATTTTAACTATGATATTCACTACGTTTTTCGAACAATTCTTCGAATATATAGATAGAATACGATATGCATATATAAATATGTATATATATATGCAAGTATATAAAACTCTCTATGCGCTTAATCCCTAAAACATATTCGTAGTTTAAAGCTAATTACAAGCGAATACGGCGCGCGTTGCGGTCGGAGAACTTATTTTCCGGATCGGTGCTCTGAACAGCCTCCGTCTACGCTCGTCTCACTTGTCCTTATGTATTTACATGGGGAGTGCCCTGATGTGGCGGCACTCAGTGCAGCTTGTGATTGGCGGGCAGATCCTCGGAGCGTATGCAACGGCCGCGATAGCAGATCTCTGTCTCGGAGGTAACTTTGGTTGAGGTGGAAGTCGCATAGACCACGTGCTCCATCAGGTCCTTGTGAAAGTTATCCTCCTTGCCGTTGGCAGGCGTTGCCACCGTTGTGGTGTCCAGCACTCCGGCCGGCGCCTCTGTGGCGGCTAGCGTGCTGCTCTCGGCGGGCGTGGCTGGCTTGGTGCGCTTGATGCTCGTGTATGCCTGGCGACGTTTGCCAACGGCTGCCAGCGCAGCGGTCACTGCTTGATCCTCGCTCTCATCGATGGCAAACAGATCGTGCAGCTGCTGCCGCACCTCGGAGAAGATGCTCGGCTGCGTCTCCAGGTCATCCACATCCGCAGCTGTGTCCATGCGGCGCGTGGCGCTCTCCTCGCTCATGGCCAGCGTTGTGGCTATTGTTGTTGCATCGGGCGTCTTGGCGGTGGTCCCCTCGTACTCCTCTGGCGTTGTGATGGCTGCCGCTGTGGTCGTTGCCACCTCAGGGGTGGTGGTTGTTGGAGCCTCGGTAGCTGGTGTCATTGGTGTGGTAGTCTTCAGGTCCGGCTCCTCTTTCTTCTCACTGCCGGCATACAACGAATTGTAGAGCTGTGGACCCAGGTTCTGGGATTCGGCTGTTTCGAAATTCTCCCCATTATCTGAACTGCCTGAGACGCGCGACTTTTTCCACTTGCCACGCCTATTGAGGCGTCCAATGGTGCTGCTCGTTGGTGTCTCGGTGGCCAGCTCCTCGGGTGCCTTGCCCATGACCTCCTCCAGCAGTTCCGCAAAGGATTTCTCGGGTCTACAAATAAGGAAATTGGTTTCAATATATTTTTGATTTCTGGCTTGGCTCGGAAACTCACTTTAGGTTCGGCGCCTTCAGCGCGGGCGTCGTACGCTGTGCAGCTCCCGATCCACCAAGATTGGCAGCTACGTTGAACTCGTAGGTTTCCGGTTGATCTGTGGGTCCCGCCGTCACAATCTCCGGCTCATTCTCGAAATTGTGTGCTTCGTTCTTGGAGCCATATTTGGGATTGAGAGGCTTGAAGCTGTTGCCGTTGGTATTGCTATTACCCGTTTCCGAGGCTGGCGACCACTGGGATTCCTGGCCCTCAAGCTGGAAGGGCTGCTTGTAACGACGACGTGGCGTCTGTGGAGCCTGTTGTGGTGCGACGGTTAATAGTTTCCCATGCATTCCTAGGAGCAACTGGATACTCACCTCCCTCTCAGACTGTTCCTGATTGTAACGGCTCAGCTTGCGCAGATTCTGCCTCTGGGTAACCTCCTCCGGGGCAGCGGTAGAGGAGGCCGGATGAGCTGGACGGCGCTGGCGTTGACGCACCTTGACCACGCGACGTGGCGGCAGGCGAGAGCGAATCTGTCAGATGAAGCAAAATTAAAGTTAAATGCTTTTTGAGTAGGCTATAAGAACTTACAGATGGGCGCTCCTCTGAGGGCGTCGTGGTGGTCACAGACGGCTCAGTTGTTGTGGTGGTTCGTACCCTTGGATAATTGCGGCGTATGAAGGGTGAGCGGCGCGTGGTTGTTGTCACAGGCGCCTCAGTGGTGGTGGTGGTGGTGGTTGTGGTAGTGGTGGAGGGTGTGGTCGTGGCCAGTGTGGTATAGATGGGGCTCACTTCGTTGCGCACGATGGCTTCCGTGGGATTCAGATCCTCCTGGTTCGGAAAATAGCCGG